CTTTTCAACAATGAGGGCATGGCTGTCCCCGGAGGGACAAGCTCTGGGCCTGGCCTAAGGTTCCCGTGCCATGTGTGTGGAAAGAGGTTCCGCTTCCAGAGTATTTTGTCCCTGCATGCTCGAGCTCACAGTTTAGACCGGGAGCGTCGAGCTTCAGCTCCCTACCGAACCACACATGCCAAACTGCAGCAGAACCATGTGGGTGACAGTGTAATCCAGAATCTCAACAACAGAGAGCCTGGTCTGAAACTGAGTCCATTATCTGGGTCATTACAAAAGAGTATGGATGAGGACATGGTTCCAGAGGAACCTCTTCAAACTGCTAGCAGCCCACATTTCCTCTTTGAAGGAACCACAGCCCTGACCCCACCTCTAACAGAGGAAGCACCAATCTCAACTTCCTTCTCTCCACTTGGCCATGCCCACTTGGAAGACAACACCCCCTCCACAGCTGCTTCTGCCTTCCGGTGTCATGCTTGTAAGGGTAAGTTCCGTACAGCTTCAGAGCTGGCACGTCATGTGCGGATCCTCCACAACCCCTACAAATGTACAATGTGTCCCTTCTCAGCCAGTCAGGAGGAAAGCCTGGCTGCCCATCTGCAGGAGAGCCACCCACCTGAAGATCCTGCCACTGAAACAGTTTTTCCTCCTCACCCTATAACAGCACCAACAGAGACTCCTCCCTCACAAATGCCAGTTCTTCCAGCTTTCCGATGCGAGACGTGCGGGCAGCGTTTTACTCAGTCCTGGTTTTTGAAGGGGCACATGCGGAAGCACAAGGACTCATTGGATCACAAGTGCCAGGTGTGTGGCCGTGGCTTCAAGGAACCCTGGTTCCTAAAGAATCATATGAAGGTGCATCTCAACAAGCTGGGCCTCAAAGCTGGATTGGGAAATCTGGGGCCGGCTGGAAATGAGCAATCCAAAGGTCCTGCAAGCACACAAGTGCTGGGGGCCCTGTATTCCAACTTGCTCCTGGCTCGCACTATGACTGGTGGCTGTGGTTCAGGAAGTCGCACAGAGAGGTCAAATGCCAGTGCAGGCTCAAGCAAATCCTCTTTATTGGGTTATCTGGGCTTACCTAAAGATGCCAGCAATGGAAGTTGCATGGAGCGCCTTCAGGCAGTGGCACAGGTTGCAGAAATGGGTAATGGTGGAGGACGGGGAGGTGAAGCAGCGGACGGAGCGGACCAGGCAGCCATGTGGCAGCTGGTTGCTCGCAGTCTGATGGCAGCACAGCACAACCAACAGCAACAGCAGCAGCGATCTCATTCGCACCATCAGCTTCCTTCCTCACGAGGCACAGTTTCTGGGGAAGCCAAGGAGTTGAGGACCTACCTGGGTGGGCTGGGTTCTAGAGAGGAACTGGAGGGATCTAGTCCACCTTGGGAGTGTCCAGATTGCGGCAAGCTGTTCAGAAGCCTTCAGCAGGTGGTTGCTCACGCCCGTGTCCATGTCCAGAAACCACAGAAAGGTCAAAGTCCCCGAGGAGGCATGTCCAGGGAAGAGGACATTATAAACAGAGTGAGTGGAGCTCAGGCAACAGGTGGAATAGGAGGAGGACAAAGAACTAGTGACAATGAAGGAAGGCAGGAGGGAAAGCAACTACCATCAGAAGACGAGACAGCTGGGAGCTTCCATTCTGTCATATCACATCTTTCTGGTAAGGATCAACCAGCATGATCAAAAACAGCTGACTTTATTGGTACAATATTTCTTATCTGCTAAAATCCTTCATAGGCTATTGCACTGCAGGACGCTGATTGAATTTGAGGGGTGTTTTTTGTAGTATTTCACTGTTGTTAGTTTTGGAACATTTCCTCCGTGTTTCAGGAAGGCAGGCCTGTTGTTAGAAATAGCATAGACTCAGGTTATATTTCAAAGCAATTGTTTTTATTCATTATATGTTATCTCATCTCAAGGTCAGAATGGTCTGAGGGGATCATCCTCTTCCACTTCATCTCCAAGGGAGCGTGTTCGGGGAACAGGGATAAAGGATTGCCCCTACTGTGGTAAAGCCTTCCGGTCTTCCCATCACCTTAAAGTGCACCTTCGTGTACACACAGGTAAGGCCAACATGAATAGTAGAAATGTGGTTCTCAACCCAGTGGCATGTGCACACCAGGGTGTACTTTATTGGGTTTCAGGAGCCATTTGGAAATAATTATATTTCCCTAAACCAGTGGTCTGCAACCTTCAACATCAAAAGAGCCATTTTGGCCTTTTTGCCACCGAATAAAGCTGATGTGGAGCTGATGTGGAGCCACAAAACTAATTTGATAAAAAAATTTGATCCCTAAAATGAAGATAGCACGGCATATAGCTAAAGTAATTATTATTATTATTATTATTATTATTATTAGTTATTTATGTCTATTTGACAAAAAAAACACTTTTCTTATCTCTTACTTTTAATTGGCTAAGAAATAAAACATACTGCTGGACAATAACCAATGATTTGTATTCTATAATATTTAAGATTATAGAATAAAAAACCGACCCCTGCCCTAAACCTATAAAACAGAAATTAAGATTTATAATATTAGATTAAATATTAATCTACAGCAACATTATTTTTATAGTGATCCTACTGTATAACAATGGTGCGTAATCATAATAATTCCTAATGTTAATTTGATATTATGTGTGAATAACACTTGTAGCAAAATACAGTATAGACACTAAACTCAAGATTGGGAAATACTATACAATTATAAATATTTTGCGCTTTTGTAATTTTATTTTACTTAGATGTCTTACGTGTCCATTAGATAAAGCATTTTTGCTGTAAACATCTCACAGAAATGATGATGATTGCTCTTTTGGTTACTATTATTATTATTATTATTATTATGTAAGTACTTTTTTATTCATTAAATAAATTCACAGCCCTGTATGATAAATTTCATGATTTGGCTTGATTGAAACCATTTGCTGCCTATCAGGTTCATCCACAAAATGTCCTCTACCAAAAAAAAAAAAGGCAGTGCTCTCATGGTTGATGAGAGATGGAATGTCCTAATTTAACAGTAATGCACTGGAGACTACACCTGATGTTGCATATGATGACAAGCACTGCCCTCTATCTATTACTGTGTGTAACTGCATATAGTCGTCCCACACAGTCTTTTTTTTTTTTTTTTTTGCTTAACCACAGCAGCCTCCCTAATGAAGCATTGTTATTCTTAGACAACGTTCTGCTATTGAAATAACATTTTAGTTTTCAATCTACTTAACAAGAGTGCTTAATTCCTTGTTTTAGGTGAGAGACCATACAAATGCCCACACTGTGATTATGCTGGCACCCAGTCTGGCTCTCTCAAGTACCACCTTCAACGTCATCATCGTGAGCAAAGGAACGCTATGGCAACCACCACACATTCCCCACCACCGAGCCTCCCCTCTCTGACTGGCTCTCCTCATGAAGTGGTGAAAAAGCGCCGTCACTCCTCCATGTCCCAGTCTTCTTTTGGGAGGGATCCTGGAGAGGCTCCTTCTTCAAGGCACAGTCGGTCATGGGCTGCAAGCCCGCCAGAGAAGAAGGAGGGCACTACTGCATCTGGACATCAAAGAGAGGGAGACGTAGAGAGTCAGTATCACAGTCTGTCGGGGATGATGGGTACTTTCTTTGCCGGTGGTCTAGAACCAAGTTGGATTGGGGAGGTGCCACCTCCGAAAATGCCCAAAGTGTCTCGACGGAAACCCCTTACTACAAGCCGCATGATGTCAGCGAATGGCTACCAGGGCGGGATAAAGTCCAGTGGGTCCCAGGAAGGAGGGTTTGAACCTCTGGACCTTTCCCGCCGCCCTTTACAAGATGAAGGGGGAGTGAGTAGTTCTATAGGTGGACCATCAGGTGGCTCTAAAGGAGGGAATGACATCCTCAATCAATGTGTCTTCTGTCCCTTCCGGACTTCTTCTGTTGAGCTTATGGCCATGCACCTTCAGGTTAATCACACCAGCAAGTCTCGTCGCAAGAGAGGAGCCCCTCTCGCATCCAATCATTCTCCAAGACTAACTTTGGCCAGGCCGGACTGCGATCCGCTGGCTCTGTGGAAGTTCCTCGGTGCAGAGGACGGAGTAGCATCTCCTGAGGATTGGGTCTTGTCAAAGACAAGAGCTGAGAATGGAGTCAGCCCAGAGAACAGGGACACAGAGGACAGTTTTGAACTGGCCCCTGGACCTGTGGGAAGCATTGGTAAGAAGGGGCTTAAAATGAGAGAGGAGCTGGACGAGGAAGATGAGCAAGTCGATGAGGAGGAGGATGACCTGGAAGCAAATGGCAGCTTTGGAAATGCACCCCAGAATCAGAGCAGAAGGGCTGGGTCTGTTTCATCAGACCTCACGGCTGAGGATCTGCTCAAGGAGGAGGAAGGTGTCTTGGGGAAATAACATCAAACAAGAACCCTGGATGAGTTTGGACTCGTGTTGTTAAAAGTACCAACATTGGTACCAGTCAGTACTGAAGTTTTAAAAATGTTGATTTCCCGCTAACGTTTGAGTGCTGATGAGCCGATTCTTGGCCATTGTGTTCAAACGCGCTCAACAGATATGATTGGCTACAAAGATCATCGCTGAACACAATGGCCAGTCAGTGCTGTTTAAGAATCAGCTCAATAGCACTCAAATGTTAGCGGGAAATGGATATTTTTAACATTTCAGTACCGACAGGTACCGGAGTCGGTACTTTTGACAACGCTAGTTTGGACATAGCGGCAGGGGAGAGATATTTGGGAAATAGTTGTCCAGAGTCCCTCGTACAACCCTGTTGAATAAAAAAACAGCATTTTCAGTTAGGTATGGTGGCTAGTTTGAGCTGAGCTAAGCTGGTCCTTAGTTGGTCCTGAGCTGGTTTAAGCTGGTCATGTTCTGGTCCAAAGCAACTAGCTCCAGCTCGGGACCAGTTTAATCCAGCTCCTGACCAACTAAGGACCAGCATAAACCAGCTGCTATGCTTCAAAACATACCTAACCAACATATGCTGGTTTTTCAACGGGGAATTCAAACCAAGGGCAGACCAGTCGCTATGCTAACATTCTGTACAATATCAGTAAACAGATAACCTGCAAAAGTATTTAAATCAAACATTCCCCTTAATATATCCTCCTAGCCCCCTTGGTTAGTGATCAATTACCTCTACATACACACACAGACTCTTAATCACACAGAGATATCCAGTATTGTATGCTAGTCTAAGCCTGCCTGTCTTTGGGCCTTCTTGAACACTGTTCTCTTGTTCCTGTCTTCTCGTCAGTGAACACAATTGCCAAGTTGTATTTAATTTACGATTTCCTTGCTCCTGTAAATCTTGCTCTCATCTCAACGAGGACCTGGAATGTCAATCTGGGGAGCCGGAAAAACAAAAAAGAGACACTGTTCTTAATCGCTACAATATACAGTATTAATGCTGAGAGAGACGGACATCCTACTTCCACATGAACTTGATCTGACTGCACGTCTTCAGTAAACCAAAGGAGTGAGCTCACTTCTTACCATGCACCTGCCAGACTCTGAACAGAATGCTGTGATAACTGAACGGTACTTGTGAATCAACAGGACAGAGTAAAGATTATATTACCAGATATCCACACACTGCCAGTCTGCTCTGACGGGTCTTCTTCAGATATTATATGAAACAGAGATTCTGCCTCTTCTATATGCTATTTCTCTCAGTGCCTGTTGATGTAAAAGGTTTTTTAGCAGATTCAGCAACACAGGAATATAGTTACAGTGAATATATACAGTATATATGCGTAGTTGTGCTAGAGCGTAGATTTCTGTGACAATATGGTGGCAGTTTGTGTGACTATGTCAGCTGTGAATGAAACAATGAATGACCCCAGAGCACCACATGTGGGAAAAGCTTTGCCGTTTGACAAGGGCCCTATGGAAGTGTTTACGTTGCAGATACCACCACCAGGATTTCTGGGTGGAATCCAGACCACAGTTACTCTATGGAAAGAGTAATGTCAGGGTCGGAAATGTATCGCAATCTAGAAAACGGCGACTCGGCAATATATCCTTCATATTCCTGTAATATCTCAGATTCTCAAACCATCCGAGAGAGGTTGGAAAGTGGGTCTCTATTAAAACATTCAGTAAGCTGTTTTTTTTAGACGTGAGTAGAATTTTTTTTTTTAATTATCGAAAACTAAAAAAAGAAAAAACACACACACACTAACAAATTCAGACATCCCAGTAGAACATATGTAGCTTTTGTAAAGATAAGAGATCAAAAAGAGGGGAAAAAATTTTGTTTTCCTTTTAAGAAGTGTTAATGGAAACGGATATGGAGAATAGTAATATGTATTATAATAATTATGAAAGAAGACTGCTTCAGAATGTCTTTAGAGCACTGTGCAACGTTTCTTTTCCTTTCGTTTCGCCTTTCAATGCAGACCAAACGTTGTTATTTTCCCCCAGACCATTTCTTCACAATGCTGCAGATTCAATTCACGTTCCCTTAAAATGATGTGTTTATGTATTCACCAATCAACAAATCAATCGTTCGGACACACAATCAATGTTAAAGCTTGCCTGATGATCTTGAAACTCCAGTGATTGCTAATATATGTATAAGCTGATGCCGTGTCCAAGACATGTCCCAGTATCAGCATTGTCAGTCTGACTGATCTGCTTGCCAAATTTGATTTGATGTAATCGTGTCGCATTTTTGATGTGAAATTAGCACATCTTACAAATGATGATCTACTTTCCTCGTCCAACTCTGTGAAATCATTTCCATCGGGTCATTTCATTTTTTATCGTTAGACACCGAGTAGGCGGCACTTTTGTCCGGAGATTGACAGAGGCTGACCTTAATACGTGCGTTATCGTGTCCTTATTTCATGTGTAGATTATCTAATGCGTTCGGTAGCCCCTGATGTGGTGTTCCTTTGAGATAACAGTCAAGCCACTGTGCCTTCTGTCCTGAGCACTTCCTCAAGTATTTTGTAAGCTCACCAAAAGCACTTAGCCCCTACTGTTTCACTTTGTGTTCTTTGGTAAACTGCTCTGTACGTCTCTGTGTCTGATCCTGGGTTTTGTAGGGGTCATTTCCGTTTCATAATAATGAGTGTCATTCCATCATCCGTGTGTGCTGTTGCATCTCCTGCTTCCCCCCCTTCCCTCACCACTGAAAGCTTACGTACTATCTAGCTCCGAGGCCTTTTTCGAAGTTACTTTAATTTCTATGATGTTACTTTGATGCCGATGAGATGAAATCAAGCTCTTCTGCTCATAATTATTATTATCATTGTTCTTTTTGTTTTATGGAAGAAAAAAATAAGCAAAACAAAAAAAATGTGTCTCTTGAATGTTGTACAGATAGAACTAGAGATGTTGTGTTTCTAAGGAGAGATCAAACCGGGATACCTGCTCTCCATCGCTCCCTGCGCAGCCAAACATCTGCATCAGCAATGATGTGGCTCTTTTAGGACGGCCTAACTGTGTACAGGGATCAGGGCAATAGTTTTGTTTTGTGTGTTTGTGTGTGTGTGTGCACTGATGTCTTAAAAATTAATATTTTGTGAAGATATACTGACACTGTGAAATAAGCATAAAGTATTCCCAAACAGTGATGCGCTGCTCAAAAATTCACTACTTTTTTTTTGTTCCACCAGAAGTGTGTGAATTCATAAATATTATCCAGTGAGAGGGGAGAGGTGGGGAGAAGGTCTGGTTTGGTCTTTTTTCAGTAGCTGACTGCTGTTTGTGGCAGAGGAAGGTGATCTAACATAGTAGTGATTAATATGAAATTGTGGATTGAGGAAAAAAAAAAGACTAGAAAAGAATCAATAAAATAAAATAATAAAAAATGGTTTGCTTGCTATATGGTGTGTCTTGCATTACATTTCCTGCTATATTTTATTTGTGTGTGTGTGTGTGTGTGTGTGTGTGCTTTAAAAAAGCATGTGCTTGGGGATAAATGGTCACATACTGATATACCCATGTAGGAGGTGAAGTGTGTAATTTCTGGGGCATTAAAATACACGAACCCCAGTTTTACATGCAGAGTCACAATTAAGGTTGACTTTGTGAATAGTGTAACTTTCAAAATATTGGACAGCAAATATGGTGTGAGTTTAGGGCGGTACTACTTGTTTGTTCAAATTGCACCCTTCACCATTGACTTTGAAATCATTTAGGCACTTGGGCTGAAAAAAAATATTGTGCAATATTGTTTGTGAACACTTGCACTTGAGCGACATTTTGAAACCTTTATGTTCACACGATGTTGTTAAACCTAAACAAACCAAGCTAATTGCTTTTATAATATGATCAGTGCTGGGTACTAATTTGCATTATGTAATACGATTCCAATTTAATTACATTATATTATGATTTAACATTTTCATAATCAGACTACATATACTTTTTATTGAGTACATAACATATTATTGACAAAATACCAGCAATTAGTTCATAATTAATTATTAGTCTATAATTTAAGCATGTGTATTTTCTTTCAAACGCATTAAACTGTACAACTTAACAATATTTTGTATTTATGTTATTCAGTTTTGTCAGCTCCCCCCATTTGATATAATATAGAGCGTGGAAGAAATATTTTTATTCTTATATCAATAGCTTATCCAAATCAATATAATGAATAAGTTAGGTAAAAATAAAACGTATTTGATGCTCTGGCATCTTCAGGTGTATCGTACTATATGTCCTGACTCCTCTCCAATTGACAATGATGACGTGAACATCAGCAGGATTTGCTTATTAACAGAAGGCATGAAAACAGCTCTTATGCATGTCTAATGTCTCTAAAGTGAGATCTGCTGTAATATTGTGTGCAGATGTTCTCCACAGCACAAACACAATGCTGTCCTCTGCTGAGCACAAGAGGTCATGCATGTTCAATCAGTTTCACAGTGATAGATCTGATGCATTTAAGGGGGTCTGAATACTTTCCGTACCCACTGTATGTCCTGACTCCTCTCCATTTGACAATGATGACGTGAACATCAGCAGGATTTGCTTATTAACAGAAGGCATGAAAACAGCTCTTATGCATGTCTAATGTCTCTAAAGTGAGATCTGCTGTAATATTGTGTGCAGATGTTCTCCACAGCACAAACACAATGCTGTCCTCTGCTGAGCACAAGAGGTCATGCATGTTCAATCAGTTTCACAGTGATAGATCTGATGCACATATTGAATCTTTGCATGGACAATGCCAATTTACAGAGATTGCACTCTTAGACGCACAACTTTGACCTTATCTACCCCTAAAAGGTGCATGCTAGTATGAACCTTTTAGGGGTAATTAAGGTACAAAGGCACATTTTTTTCTAACAGAATTCAATTCTCATTTATTGTATTTATGTCCTTTTTGAATGAAAGCCAAAGTAAGTGCAGAAATGCAACCTGATGGGATTGTGTCAAGCCCTGTGATGAGCGAGAGAAAGGGACAGACTAAACTGAAATATTGCTGATTAGTGATGGTGAGGTCTCTATTTAGACGTTTACTCTAGACTGTCACAGAGATTGCACTCTTAGACGCACAACTTTGACCTTATCTACCCCTAAAAGGTGCATGCTAGTATGAACCTTTTAGGGGTAATTAAGGTACAAAGGCACATTTTTTTTCTAACAGAATTCAATTCTCATTTATTGTATTTATGTCCTTTTTGAATGAAAGCCAAAGTAAGTGCAGAAATGCAACCTGATGGGATTGTGTCAAGCCCTGTGATGAGCGAGAGAAAGGGACAGACTAAACTGAAATATTGCTGATTAGTGATGGTGAGGTCTCTATTTAGACGTTTACTCTAGACTGTCATTGGCATCAGAACAACTGCATACTGCTCTTCCAACGATTGTAGCATTGCAGTTCAGATGGCATGCACCACTGCCAAAAATAGTTCAGTCGCAGTGCTTAGCAGTCTGACAAGGTTTTTATGGTTTAGACGATCTGTGATGGCCTTCGGAAGCACAAATGGACAACAAATGTATAACATATTGATCACTTTATTGATTTTGCCTTTTGTTATTATATATCTTGTGTACGTAATTGTACAAAATGTTCCCATCTCAGGCCTCAGTGCTATTGCTGCAGCATTTGCACTGATTACTTTTGACCGACCACAAATCACTTTCTTCAGTTTCTTCTCACACATTATGTCACAATATCTGGCTTTAATTAACGCTATATTGGCAGCTGTGTCTGTCTTTGGAGGAATCATTATATTCGGTTCCATTATTGCTTCGGTGGCGATTGTGTTACTGTCATTCTTCCCATATGCGCTGTGGGGAGATGCTGCTGCAATAGTGTTCGTTTGAGCGTTTTCTCTAGCAGCTGCAGTAGCAATAGTTTGCTGGCAGGGGGCTGTTGGACCAGCAGCATCTCTTCTC